AATATCTCTCTGAGGACGGGGGGACACCCCTTATCAACAAGGGTGTCTGAACGATGCATATTTGTATACCTAACCCTTAACTGTACCCCACAATTTTAAAATAAAAAATATGTTTAAAAAAAATGGGCAAGGACATGAACAGACACTTTTCAAAAGAAGGCATACAAGTAGCCAACAGACACTTAAAAAAAATGCTCAGCCTCACTAATCAGATAAATGCAAATCAAGACTACAATGAGATACCACATAACTCCAGTAAGAATGGCCATCATTAATAAGTCAAAAAACTTCTACAATGTCGGCAGGAATACAAACTAGTTCAACCTCTATGGAAAGCAGTGTGGCAATTCCTAAAAGAACTAAAAGCTGACCTTTCATATGATCCAGCAAGTCCCCTCTTGGGAATATACTCAGAGGAACATCAATTGCTCTATAAAAAAGAAACCTGCAGCGGGTCTTGGTGGCTCAGCCTATAATCCCGCGCCTTTGGGAGGCTGAGGTGAGTGGATTTCCTGAGCCTGCGGGTTTGAGACCCGCCTGGGCAGGCGAGACCTCATCTCTACAATAAATAAAAAAAATCAGCCGGGCGTGGTAGCACATGCCTGTAATTCCGGCTACTTGGAAGGCTGACGCGGAAGGATCGCCGGAGCCCAGCAGGTCAAGGGCAGGCGAGACCTCATCTCTATAATAAATAAAAAAAATCAGCCGGGCGTGGTAGCACATGCCTGTAATTCTGGCTATTCGGAAGGCTGAGGCGGAAGGATCGCCGGAGCCCAGCAGGTCGAGGCTGCGGTGGCTGGGAGCGGCCACTGCACTCCAGTCTGGGCGACAGAGTGAGACTCCAATTAAAAAAAAAAAAAAAAAAAGAAAAAGAAAAAAAAAAGACACCTGCATATGCATGTTTATTGCTGCACTATTTATTATAGCAAAAACATGGAACCAACCCTACTGCCCTTTGAAAGTGGTTTGGATAATGAAAATGTGGTACATATTCATGATGGAATATAATGCAGATATAAAGAAGAACAAAATCGTGAACTTTGCAGAAAATTGAATGGAGTTGGAGACCATCATACTAAGTGATAAATCTCAGAAACAGATAACTAAATATCACATGTTCTCATTCATAAGTGGACACTGAACAATAATCACATGAACACAAGAGAGTGATGGGAATTCACTGGGCACTGCTAGGGGAGGAAGGGAGGGAAGAGGGTGGCGGCAGGTGACAACACAAAGGGTACCAGGCTCACCACCAGGGGAATAAGGACAAATTGGAGGTCCAAACTTCACCTGCTTGCAGCCTGCCTATGTAGTTAATCCTCACTTGTACCCCACATCTCTTTAATAAAATAAAATAAAAATTCCTACAATTCAACAGCAAAAGCACAATTTAAAAATGCGCAAAAACTTGAATAGGCATTTTTCAAGGAAGAAATGCAAGTGACCAACAAGTGCATGAAAAGAGCTACAATGGGGTATTACTTCCCAGCCACCATGGTTGTTGAGAACACTAACACAACCAACTGGACTTAATGTGTATTTTCAGAATATTATATTCAACAGCTGTTGAAGACACATTCTTTTCAAGTTCATATGGATTATTTGCCAACATAGACCAAATGCTAGGCTGCAAGTCTTAATATATGTCAAAAATTTGAAATAAAAAAATAGAAGGTATGAGAAAGAAAAAAGGATGAGGAAACTGTTATAGATAAAGACATAAGAACATATCAACTGAATAAAATGTGTGGACATTGTGTTTCAAACTCTTCATTTTGTTAAGTGTGATAACCACATTGTGGTTCTATCAATTATAAAATTTAAATGCTTGAAAATAAAAAAAATCATGTTTTATGATTGTCTAGGATGCATAAGTAAGGGCTTCCAGAAACTACCTCCATTGAAGTATTAAAGATAATGTACTTTGTCTGTTTACATGTTTGCTTGTTTTTCTTAACATATTATTGTTTCTTGGGGCAGACATCTTGTACTCATTATTTTATGGTGGCCCAAAACACAGTATCAATGAACTGACTGCCTGAGTGAATGAAAACTATTGGTTTCTGGTACTTTCTATCAATTTTCCTGTATTGATTACTAATTCTTGATGAAAGTAGACCCAAAAAAAGAGCTGGAAATATTTAGTTTCATTATCAGCTAAGGCTGGGAAAAACACTTAAGAGATAAATGATAATAATGGCCTTAAAAATGGAAGGAAAATAGGCTAACTCCTACTGTTCTTTATGAGGAAATAAATGTCAAAGAAAAATTGAAGGTTTGTTTAAAAGCCATTAGCTTTAACAATGGAAAGCCCAATGTAGGTTTCGAAACCTTCCAAACTTCAGAATAATTTTTACAACTGTTAGGTGTAACTATAATTTATGAAGAAAGAGAAAGGTGAGAAACATTTTGCCCTCATCACAAAGCTAGAGAGTGGTACAACTACGTTTAAACTTCATTCTTGGGACTCCTTCACAAGTTCTTTTTCATTTTACCATAATACCTTATTGCATATTGAAAGAATTGCAAGACTGGTGATGGCTGAAAACCTTGTGATATATAAATATTGATGGCATTGACAACAGTAATTAATATATTCATAGATAAAATACTACTAATAAATAAATAATGAATGCTAGTAATAATAGTAACTAAATTATTGTTATTGTTATTATTATTATTATTATTAGAGTTAGAGTCTCACTCTGTCACCCAGGCGGGAGTGCAGTGGAACACTCATAGCCACTGCAGCCTCAACCTGATAAACTCAGGCTATCCATTTGTCTCAGCCTTCCAAGTAGCTAGAACAACAGGCACGCGACACCACATCCAGGTAATTTTTTGATTTGTTGTAGAGATGAAGTCTCACCGAGTTGCCTGGGCTGCTCTTGAACCCCTGGGCTCAGGCAATCCTCTCGCCTTGGCCTTCAAAAGTGCTGGGATTACGGGTTTGAGCCACTGCGCCCGGCTAAATTATTAGCATGATTATTTAAAAATAAAGAGGGACATCTATCTAATTCTTGATGGAAGTAGACAAAAAAAGAGTTGGAAATATTTAATCCCACTATCATCTAAGACTGGGAAAAAACATTTAAGAGATAAATGATAATGATGGCTTTAGAAATGTTTAGAATGTATTAGGAGATTTTTTTGTACTAAGCTCCTAATACATACTAACAACTTCTATTTAAACAAAAATAGAAGTGAGTTAATTAACAAGTGTTGGGGGTAACCATTAGATTACATCCTCAAGATGTGCAAGAAAAGATAAGGCTGGGAAGTTTAAACACTCCCATAACACTCCTAAACATGATTCAGAAATAATCACAAGGTCTGTTGAGTGACATTCAATAACAACAAACATTTCAATTTTTCTTAGTGAGCTATGGGTTGAAAATTTCTACATGGGTTCAAATAAAAGAATAAAAATCTTGGGGACTAGCACAGTTGAAAATGACTTTGGCATCTTAATGGACATCGAGAGAAAACTGAACCAACCCCATGTTATAATTGTTATTAAGGTCAGAGTCTTAATGTTCTCTACAGAATAGCACAGTCTGTGACTACTGGGTCCTGGCTACAACTTAAGAGCAGGGAGTTCTGTTACTCTTTGTGGAAACCCTATGTTCTCTTCCAACCATCCTAAAAGGAACCAATTAATGTCATCAGCTATTCATAGACCAAGAAGACATGAGTTATAAGTGCCCCTGAAAGAGACATATAGAGACATGCTGCTAGCCTCTGAGAATCCAAGCTTTTGTTATTCCAAGGCACAAAGCTAAATGCCACACAGTTACAACACAAATGGGCACACAGGTGTCTGATACAGGTGTGCTGAGGGAGGGGACAGGGAAGCAAGTGATGCTAAGACCAATCAAAGTTCCCAGTTAATGAATTGTCCAAATTCTTCAACTGTACAAGGAACTGGAACTGTTAGTCAAGAGACAGTCTAAGGTGAGTCACTGAGCCCTTGCCCCATTGGGGAGTATCCCAGAGCAGGAAGTTTTCTGTGATTAGAGTGACAAGACATTTTGGGAATTACATATAAATTGAATTTGATTTGGAAATGACTTGTCTCACCCTGTTGTAGTCCTCTTCACTTCCTGAGGGTAGGGCCACCTAGCTATATAAAAGGACTTTCTGTTACAGTATCACTATCCTCTTCATTCTCAATTCACCAGCAGCTTTGGAGAAGCAGGTAAGTCTGATTTTACTGGGGTGTTCTGCTTGGAGGAACCACAATAATGTTTGGAATTAATTTATAAGTAGAAATAACTATTTTTCCCAAATGATGCTGATATGTGTACTCTTGCCTATGGGATGAAAATTATCAGACAGAGGGCACAAGTAGGCTATTTTTATTTATTTCTTATGCCTTTTTACTGCAAGGCTGAAATTCATGAGTAAAAAGTAGGTACAGAAATAATATTGAATTTAAAGAAAATGAGGACAAGAGATTCTCTTTGGTCTGCCACAGTAAAAGACAGTTGCCTACTTCCCTGCCAGCCTCTATGACTATAAGCCCTTTGAGACCCTTCCAGGTCTGAGCTTTGACAATTCTCTGAATAAACCTTGTCCTAGCACTCAAAGCAGCTCAGTTAGACTTTAATCAGCACCTTATGAAAGGTTATGTGAGTAGAGACTTGTTTTGGTGTTGGTCAGAAATTTAGCAATAGGCTGTGTTTTTTTCTAGAGATTGTATTTTTATTCATCTCCTTGTTGCTATCTCAAGACAGAGAAGACAATTCCATTTTTTAAAAATGGCAAGAGAAGTAAGATAAGTTAGCTAGAGAAGTACAAGAGGCTAGTAGGATATGATATTAATGAGAAAAAGAGGGGACGCTGCACAGGGCACTAAAGAGAGTTGGGAGACCAAAACATAACCTTGGAGATAACATTGCTTATTTGATGGGTTTTGGCTTGCTCTTTCTGCAAGAGTACACCTCCTCAAATAATGTCACTTGCTTTTCTTTCAGATTCTGTGACAGTCAAGAAAGATGTCCTATCAGCAGCAGGAACAATGCAAGCAGGCCTGTCAGCCACCTCCTGTGTGCCCACCGTCCAAGTGTCCTGAGCCATGCCCACCCCCGAAGTGCCCAGAGCCATGTCCACCACCAAAGTGTCCAGAGCCATGTCCACCTCCCAAGTGTCCTGAGCCATGTCCACCTCCCAAGTGTCCTGAGCCATGCCTACCTGTGAAGCACCCAGAGCCATGCCCACCATCTGAGTTCTGTCAGCAAAAGTACCCTCCTGTGCAGCCACCACCATCGTACCAGCAGAAGTGATCACCCATGAGCATCCAGAGCAAAAGCCATCAAGACCATGATGCGGCAAAACAAATGCCTCTTCCTTGCTCCCATGGCATCACTTCCTTTCCAAAGTTTGTCCTGGTGACAGAAAGGACTCCCTTAATCTCTATTCCTATAATTCCAGGGGTGCTGTTTGACATAGAAGAGGCTTAACTTTGAAGTTGATATTTTTCCTTTTAGGATCATGTTCCTCTCTGAGATAGGACCATTCTTGGGGACACCAGTTTCCCCAGAGCCTAAGAATAAAGAGCAACAGAAAGAAGCTTAACTTCCTGAAATTCAGTCTTTCTTTATTGTGTTAATAAATTACCTGGAGCCTGGGCAATGATTTCTCTGGTATGGGAAAACTTTACTTCTGCTTTCCTAATAAAATATGTTTCGTGATGGAGCACAAATGTTTTTTCTTCTTTACTCTTGCTTGTTAGTTGTATCAGATAAGTGAGAAATTCTTTTTGTTTTATTTTGTTTATCTGTTCCTGATTAATCTCTAGACACAGAATTATACAGTCATTGTCCATTGGATTTGGTGTGAAATGTGTCTGTTTTCATTGAGCACAGAAATAAGTTTGTTTTTTTTTTGAGTTGGAGTCTCACTCTGTCATCCAGACTGGAGTGCAGTGGCCACTCC